CCGGGAAGAGGCAGGCTGGCCCCATAGCCTGGAGACCCGGCACCCACTCTAAGTCTAAAATCACCAAAGGACGCAGGGTGAGTGGTCAGAGCCCCCGCGCCCCCGGAAAGCAGCTGTGTGCGTCTAACTCGGCAGGTATGTGTGTGTGGGGGGGGGGGGGCGTTCTCAGCCTTACTGAACATTCCAGAACATTGCTGCATTCTTTTTTCTTTTTAAATATAATATCTTTCTCAATCTCAGAGAGGAAGGGAGAGGGGGAGAGAGAGAGAGAAACATCCATGATGAGAGGCAATCACGGACTGGCTGCCTCCTGCAGGCCCCACACTGGGGATGGAGCCCGCAACCCGGGCCCGTGCCCTGACCGGGAATCGAACCCCGACCTCCTGGTTCACAGGTCGACGCTCAACCACCGAGTCACGCCGGCCGGGCAAATAGTTTATAGGGACGAGAAGGGTGCTTTTTAAAACTCCGAACGCATTAACAGCACTTATAATTACACGGCATTTTCTCTCTGGGCCTAAGGTGGTGCTTCACAACTCCCTCCGTGAGCGGTCGGGAGAGATCATTATCCCCATTTTATATCCAGGAGGATGGAGGTTTGGAGAGTCTTAAAATTGTTTTCCCAAGATGAGACGACTCCCGACGATTAGAAACGCCCGTCCCGCATCTGGAGCAGGATGGTGGTGGTCTAGCGACGGTCCCCTGCGGCCCTAAAATTCTAGAGCAAAGCGGGGTGATCTGTTGTCCCCGACGCTGGGGCACCGAGAGCTGGAACATACACCGACTTCGCGAGTGACAAACTGCTGCCTTTTTCTATGTTTTGCTCATCAAGCCAAGAAAAGCTGCTTCTGTGCTCGGCCGACAGGCCTCTCTCTCTCTTCCCCGATGCCACGCACGCTTGGCTGTGTTTTGCTACAACAGCCACCGCTCTCGTGTTGAGATGCATCCAGCAAATCCTCGCTTCACAAAGAGCTGGACGCCCGCCGGAGGCTCAGGGTGAAGAAATAAGCGCAGCAGTTTGCTACGTGGAACCCGACGCTCACCGCTGGCAGCGGCGGCGGATGTCAAAATACAGGGTGTGTGCGTCCCCCGACAAAAACACACACCCACCGCCACCGCGGACGGCTCAATCCTGAGAACGAATTGTGTTTTCATGAACACTGCCTTTATAAAATCACCCCAAGTGTGCGCATACGTTTTGGGGGGACACACCCTGCAAGCGAGCGCCGATAAAAAGGGAAGGAAGGAAACTTCGCTATGAAGAAACTTCTCTTGTGAGGAGTGCCCAGCGTCATTTCCACCCAGCGATGCAGAGGGTTCCTCCTCTGACTGAGTGGCCCTTCTCTCTCTACTTTCCTACGGACTGGAAGCCAAAGAGAGAAGTTAATTCATTACAGGCGATGGGCACCTGAGAGCACTCGGCCTGCTGCCCCCCCGACACACACCACACCCCACGGTTCTGAGGCTGCCCTCGGGGTGGAGGGTGGGGGAGACACACTTGACAAATGCTTGTGTTTTTAGAAAAAAAGGTTGTCATTCTAAAGTATGGCTGGTCTGGCTCAGTGGATAGAGCGTGGGCCTGCGGACTGAAGGGTCCCGGGTTCGATTCCCAGTCAAGGGCACAGGCCCAGGTTGCAGGCTCGATTCCCAGGAGGAGGCGTGCAGGAGGCAGCCGGTCCATGATTCTCCCGCATCAATGATGTTTCTCTCTCCTTCTCCCTTCCTCTCTGAAATCCGTAAAAACATATTCAAAAAAAAGAATAGATTTCCTCTATTAAATTTAAGGGAGCGCTATCCCAATCCGTTGAGACACTGCTTCCTGGCAATTGCCGACAGTCTGGCTCAAATAAACTCACACAAATTCTTTAAAAAGGTAAAAATTAAAAACTACAAAGTGCTTCCATGGGTCTCTTCGCTAAGCAGCCGCTACAGTCCCCCGGCGGGTGTCAGCGGCTGGTGTCCGCCCCTAAGGGAGCCAGGACCTCGCTGGCTTCTCCCCCGGCGGGTGCGCCGGCCGTTGAGTAAGAAAAAGCAAACACAACCTGTTTACTGGG